CAGTGGCGACCTCAGCAAAAACTTCACTCGCAAATTAATATTTTTGGTCGCAGTCTGGAGCCCTGTATATATATATATATATATATATATATTACCTTATTATATATTAAGGTCGAAGTCTTCAGTAATGAAATGCACCGTAACACTGTTATTGCTTGAGTAATTTCAATGTGCCGTTTTGAAGTACGTTCATTATATATGCTTTCAAACATTTCCGCATGTAGCGTGCCAGGGTTGCCAGGTTTTCACAAAAAACCCGCTCAATTGCTACTCAAAACTAGCCCAATCGCGTTTCGATGGGGGTCAACCGGTAAAAATCGCATTCCAGAGGGTAAAATACACGTTTTTTTGGAGGTTCCCCAAACTGCGGTCACAACATTAAAATCAATTCATCCTAACGAGGCAGCAAAATGAAACGTGTCGCAAAATAAAATTGTAAAATTACTCAGAAAAGCACAGTGAAATAAATTTTTTGTAGTGCATTAACAGTTGTGAGTCAAGTGCTCACGGAAATTATGTCTCTAGACATTTCTTATTAAATGTCTCAAAATGTTCCTTTCAGAACATTTCTCTTTGGTTTCAGTAAGATAATCAAACAGCTTTTACTAGAGAACTGGTTGACAGATGTTAAAATGATGTTAGCCAGTCTACATTTACCCCACTGTTGCTTCTTTGGAAGGTCATCAGGTGCTGTTGCCTTGCTCTTGTTCAAATATTAGCATGGCGAGTTGGGAACGTGACCCCTGGCTCTCCAGAGTGCTCTGGAGACAGCGGTGGAACACGTCCTCACTTAGCCGTGGATTGCAGGTCTGGTTGCGGTATGCCTGGCGCAAAGCAGGCTCGATAGCACGGAGCACGTGTAGCCCTGAATACTGCACAAACATGTCATAAAGATCCAGGCTCTCCAGCAGCTCCTCGTTCTCCTGCAAATCCCCAGTGATCCGTGTGCGCGAGGACATGTAGTCAGAGTTGTAGAAACACGCCTCCTCAAAGATGTAGCGATCAAAGTGACCCGCTTCCCTGACCAGGTCTGATGAGGCAGGAGGAACCTGGTCTGGATAAGCCACACTGGGGTCAAATTCTTGGAAATGGATGGGAAAGAAAGCCTGCCAGCCACTGATGGCATTCATACAACAGCGATTCAAAAACTCTGAGTTGAGTACAGTGTCAGCTGTGACCAGGAGGATGAGTGTTTCCACCGGGTGCTTCCTAGATACAATATCCAGGATCCGCAGGACACCCGGACTTTCTGTCTTTATGCTGATCCAAGACACCTTCACGCTGGGATATCTGTGCTCGACGGAAGTGATCTTAGCCTTGACCTCTGCAAAGACGTCATTTGTACTCACTTTTTGGGCCTCGGCGGTTTCGTAGGTGAACAGGAAGTTAAGAACTGCATTCTCACCAGTCTCAAACAAGTTGGAGGAACAGTGATCTAAGAAGCGCAGCGCTACATGGGAGTCATAACTGGTGAGAGGCAGGAGGACGTGGACTCGTGTAGCCTCTGTGACATAAGGCATGGGGATAATCTCTACCTGGCTGAGGGGTCGCACAAGGTGTACATGGCGTGCAATAGATTTCTGGTGACCAGACTCAGTCGTGGCCTGGAACTGCAGGTCCAAGGTGTACTCCATCCCTCGTGTATGGTCCAAGCGCCTGTAACCATTCACCAGCTGTGGAGCACTTAGCTGTACAAAAGGGCTGTATTTTTTGTTAAGCTCTTCAACGGCGACCTTGATGACGTTAGTCACGTCATCACGATCAGCACCACTGAGCAGGCATTTAGGGGCACCATCCACGCAGGAGAAAAGGTTATCTTCAGTAGAGTAGTCCCAACGCAGTACCTCAAAGCGGCTCTTTGGTTCAAAGGGATGTGTGATGCCGATGGGCCACAAAGCACTCTTGTTTCCATCCACTGCTAATTCACTGACATTCTTTATCTCAGACTAAGGGTGAAGAGTAAGATTCATGAAAAGCTGACAAAAGGCATAAAACAAACACATACACTATATCTTTAGGGAAAAAAGCTTGTCACTCGGACAGTACACCTTCATACCTTTATATAATCTTAAAAGGTGCATATTAGTTCCTTAAGAGTACATATCAGTATATTAAAGTGTAAAATAGTACCCTTTAGATCAGTGGTTTTCAACCAGGGGCCGGGGCCCACTAGAGGGCCTCAGCAAACTTTCAACGGGGATTCAAGATGACTTTAAAAAAAAAACTGTAGATATTTATTTATAATTTTTCTTCATTCATTTATTTAATTTATTTATTTTCTTAAGACAACATCATGGTTTTAGAAAACCTAGATATATTAAGGAGGACTAATTTTAAAAGTGTCATTTGAAATCTTAAAATGTTATCATGAATATACCTTTTTCTAATTATGTTAAGTTCTAAAATATTTAGTAAAAAAAAATTATAAAAAAATCAATTAACCCTTAATCCTTATCCAGTACATCACAAACAAATGGAAAAGTCATAAATCAAAGCCTTTGTATGTAGTTAATTTTGTGTCTTTTTTTTATTCAATAAAACATACTGTGAGAGAAAAACTTTAGAGCCCTCCACTAATATTGGCACCCTTGGTAAATATGAGCAAAGGTGGCTGTGAAAATAAATCTGCATTGTTTATCCTTTTGATCTTTCATTCAAAAAATTCACAAAATTCTAACCTTTCATTTAAGTATAACAATTGAAAGTGGGGGGAAACTCACATAATGAAATAAATGTTTTTTTCCAATGCATGTTGGCCACAATTATTGGCACCCCTAGAAATTCTTGCGAGTAAAATATATCTGAAGTATATTCCCATTCATATTTACATTTTTTAGCACACCAAGGTGACTAGGAGCATGAAATTGTCCAGCCATGACTTCCTGTTCCACAGGATTATAAATATGAGGAACACAAAGGCCAATTTCCCTTAATCATCCATCACAAGGAGTAAAACCAAAGATTATAGTTCTGATGTGCAGAACAAGATTGTTGAGCTTCACAAAATAGAGTGGCTGTAAGAAAATAGCTAAAGCATTAAAAATCCCCATTTCCACCATCAGGACAATAATTAAGAAGTTCCAATCAACTAAAGATGTTACAAATCTGCCTGGAAGAAGATGTGTGTCTATATTGTCCTAATGAACGGTGAAGAGGAGAGTGTGAGTGGCCAAAGACTGTCCAAGGATCACAGCTGGAGAATTGCAAAGATTAGTTGAGTTTTGGGGTCAGAAAAAATCAAACAGCCCCAACATCACCACATTTTGTACAGGAGGCTTTCAAGAAAAGTCCTCCTCGCTCATCCAAAAACAAACTCGAGCATGTTTAGTTGTCAGACACGACTGGAACTTCAAACGGGACTGGCTTCTATGGTCAGATGAAAAAGGTGTAAATCTAACCTGTAGTTTTTCAATCTCTTCATAGGTCTTCTGCAGTTCTATTTCTGTGAAATGTTTGTGCAGACGATACATAAATTCTGCACTGGTCACAGGATGAACAGTGAGAGCATTCTGGAATCCATCATTTTCCATTCTGGGAAGGTCCATATTGTTTTCCATTGTAAGATAATTATAATTCAGGCCCTGGGGTAAAGCAAGATTGAAATTAGATCAGAATGTATTATTTTACATAAATATATTTATATGTATTGTGTTTTTAACATGCCTCGACATTTGGCACTATAACAAGAACGTGATCATAGTTTCATAGACAGCACCCATAGGTTAATTCTGGTCATCTCTAGTCAGCAGACCCTTGCAATTTGCAGTAATGCTGTTTAATGTCTTGTTGTAACCATGCTAATTAACTGCACAAATCGCAGCAGGTCTGCAGCTGGCCTGCCGAGAACAGGAAGTCATTTACTTTGTGGCTCAGCAGCAGAAGTACATCATTCCATTAAAGTAATCCTGGTTTCTGGACACTCACTTGTTTTATGCTGGATCCAAACAGCATGTTCAGGTCTGTGTGAATTACTGATGCTTTATTTTCAGGTCACTGCTTTTTACGTAAATGTCCAAAAGGTCCAAATTTGAACAACTAGACTGTCTTAAACTCAGTCTAATGATATGTTGCCTCTGCATGAGACTGATAGCTCACCTAATGAGAGCCAGTGCTTTTAGTTTCTCTGTGGATTGCAGAAGAAATCATTATTTTGGATATTATTTCCACTTGCAGTAATAATAATAATTATTATTTATTCATTTATTTATTTATTTATTTTTTGCTTTTTAATGATCATACACCGATTTACAATAATAAACAATTAGCTTTAACTGCTTCCAATGCATACTTTTCCCTTTAAACCAGTTAAGTGCACACTGTGCTGATTGCCTACACAACACTAAAACAAATACTAACCCCTAACCTTGGTAGCACATCCTGATAGATACCATTACTGTTTGTCATGATTGGATCCATCCATGATTTTTCTGAACTTAAGTCTGAATTTTTCTTGACTGCGTAATTGAGTTGACCAATGAAAGCTACTGTGGGTTGGGGTTTGTATTTAACTGGTTTGCTTCCAAAAATTTAAAACCACTAATTGATTTCTACTTTACAGTAGTTAGTCTTAAAATATGAAATATTTATATATTTTTTTTATGAAATGATGTGTTTTTCATTCTTTTAATTAGTCTGAATCTAAAATGATTTTGCATTAACTTGCAATTTAATTAAAGTTCCCTTCCGAGGGAACTTCGAACTGCATCCTCTAGAGGTCGCTATGGGGAACGCCTTCAGCGTGACCGGTGTCTGAAGCATACATCTAAACACGACAATGATATTGGCCGGCGACCGCCTATGACGTCATTACCCTGCGCGATCACAGTATAAAAGGGCGCTGGGATAACACGTCATCCTCTTCTTCGTCTTCACTGACCGTTTGTTTATGTTAAGCACGACTAGGAGTGCATGTTCTCTCGGCAGAGGCTTTGCTCTGATACACGCAGGTTTACACGGCTCGCACGACTGGAACTTCAAACGGGACTGGCTTCTATGGTCAGATGAAATTTTAAAAAAATTTAAAAAGAAGGAGATTTTTGGCAGCAAACCCACCAGATGGGTACAAAAAGTCTTGTTAAGACTAAAGTTACTGATAACAAATCTCTTTGCATTGCAAACAAATATTCTTTTTACTTTATGCAGTTCCCACATTTTCATTATGCACCCACCATACATTTTGGTCTCTGTTCTGCTGTCATTTTTTGCAGATCTAAAATCTGCTTGCGAGCTGAAAAGTTTTGCTTGTGAGTAAAGTTGAAGCATCTCAGTGGGCGTTAACTATGCACCAGAATGAAAGACCTGTTTCTATTGATCACTCTTGCTTTGCACAATAATCTGGCCACAACCCACTGCATGGTCCTGGACAGAGAGCAAGCTTGTGGCGTTAAGAACAACACGTCGTTGTCTAATGTCATGATCATGGTCTTCTTTAGAACACTCTTAAGTGCATGTAGATAACCAGTTTCAAAACTTTTCAACTCATAAGCTAAACTTTTCACCTCACAAGCAAACATTTTAGACCCATTCAGCAGATCAGAGAGCAAAATATATGGGTGCATAATGAAAAGTGTGAGAACTGCATAAAGGAAAGAGAATATTTGTTTGCAACGCAAAGATTTTGTTATCAATTACTATATTTTTGTAATTAAATCTTTTATTTTTATTTTTTGTAATTGCAGTCTTTTATTTTTTAATTACAATGTAATTAGTTTTGCTCTCAAACACAGTATTTTTTGATTGAATAGAAAAAAAAACAGTAACTCCATACCTTTGAATGTTGTTGTGGACAGTGGGGTGCGTTTGAGTCAAAAAAGATTAGAACTACTGCTTTATGGGTAGATAAGGTAGAAAGATGTACCTTTGAGGCCACTGCCCCAGTGACAAGCAAAAGGTATTCAAGCAATATTCATGCATTCAAAAAGTATGAATTTAGAAAAAAGTACAGATGTTGGTTTTGATGGCTTTCTTTGATAAAGAAATGTTATGCATGCAGAAAGTATACAAAATACAGTGCTAAATAAAGCAATGGTATATATATATATATATATATATATATATAGATATATATATA